AAAGATTTGCTCATCACATCCCCACTCCTTTTCTTTTCCCTCCGCACAAGTAAGGCAAGCCTATTCAGGTACATTACACAGGTGCATTCAGGTAGTATCGAGTAATAGACTCTACTTGCCTAAATTGTACATACAGTCTACCTATATACAATAACTAAATGCAAGTGAAGTAATAATTGTTAAACACATTATAATATTTAGGATATCAATGCAGAAATGTATGATATACCTATTTATTAATATTGTATATTATGTATATTAGTTCAGGTCTTACTTGCAGAGCTAGTTATTATAAAATCAAGCTGTTTGACACAAATTTTCAACGAAATGAGCGAGGCGGAAAACAAAAATGCTTTATTAAAATCCAAATGCGAGCAGTCCGATCAGCCATACTCTGCGAATATCTACAATGAGGATGATCACGATTGGTGGGCAAGTGACAGTGGTTCCAGCACAGGGTCATATTACTCAGACACCGACAGGTAAATTCAACAATCAGGCGTATTTGTGAATAGATATGAATGATTTCTCCATGATTTAATATACTTAAATGCAGCTCTGTGGTTGAATGGGAATCGGAGATTGGACCCACCGGAGAAGTATTCTATATAGAATCCGCAGAGGAAAGTCTACTCGAGAATCCTACAATTTCAGAGAATGACATCGAAAGCCCTCAGCCAGAATTAACACGTCGCCGTAGTACGAGAGCTGGTAAACTGTTTCGTCTTATTAGACGTAAGGAAAGCAAGCGATGGAGCACGAGAAATAAAAGGATTAACAATAGCGCTGCGACAAATAATATAACTGCTGAAGAAAAAGGAGATGGGAGCAAGGAAGTCAAATTTCAAGATTTCCAGGTACTGAAGCATTTGGTGCACTAACAGCGATGAACTATAATATAAACATATCTTGGAAAACAACATTTAAAAATAAATGATTTTAAAACGTGAAATTTAATTGTAATTTAATAAATTTAACATGACAAATAATAAAATGTCACATAAAATCTTCTTGTATCTGTTAAAGTAATTATCTGTAATGATCAGGCAGGAGAAATTCGACAAGTCACATTATGGGTCGATCCTGAGAGAAGACATAAACTGGGAAGAAGGGCAACCTTATGTGAAGCGTACTTCGGTATTACTCCGGGTGCGTTCTCGGACAAAGTGAGAGTTATGGTGGCCGGATTTATACCCGATGGTGAAGCTATGAAAAAGAGAAATATAAAAATCGGAGACTGGTTACGAAGCATCAATTCGAACAACGTTACTTTTCAGAATTTAGATCGGATACTATCTGAAATCACTACGCCATCAAATGTGAGATTTGTATATATGTTAATAATTGATAAATAATCGTGATTAATAAATTCAGGAATTTGCTATATATAATTTTGTAATAATTCGAATCTATTTTAATTTTTTTTAAGGAAAGATTAAAAAATTCTTTACTTATAGGTAACATTAGAACTGCAAAGAGTAGCTGGTGTTGATGTTACTGCAAAATTACCAAAAGTAAATGAACCAAAAGTAATTAGTTTTCATTATAACTACGACAGTAAGAATACGTGATATGTATAAAATAAGATTTTACTGATACTGATCGTACATTTTTAGCAATCAATATTGGCCCAGTATTTGGTGAATAAAGAATCCAATAATTTCTTTATGGAATCTCTGTTGAATTATCCGTTGGGCGTAATATATTTAAAAACTGCGGATCTTTCGGAAATGGGACAAGAGTTGCAAGGTGTATTATATACGTTCCCACGCTCCGAAACTAAAAATGTGCATTCTTCTCTATGTACAGCAAGGGGAGCTTTTATAACTCTTAATCATTTATTACCCAGTATAGTAGGCACAGAACCACTCAGGTATATTACATGATGCTTTGCTTAACGCTGTGTCTCCAGATACATATTATTTAAAAAATTTTAAAAATATATATTTTAAAAATATATATGTATATATTATATATATAAGAGTGTTCGGAAAATCACCCGCAGTACTTTGGGAAGTGATTTATATATGTTTTTCCTTTTCGAGTCCCGAATCACTTCCCGAAGTATTGCAGGCGATTTTCTGGACGTCGCATAACGTATATATTTTTAGTACAACTGCCTATATAGGCGAAGAAGAAACGCATATTGCATACACATCCCGTAACGATGAATTACTTTTGATAGCTTTACCGGGCAAATGGTGAATTTTACTTTAGAGTACAATATTGGAAAAAATACAACAATTATTTTAATATGAATTTTATCAATTATTTCTTTGTAGCTGTACCTCTCAGGAGATTATTAAGATTACAGAAGACATTGTCAGAACATTAGAATTTACCTATCAATCACTAACAAAGTGCTTTACTTCTGTGGAGAACCAGTTTTTTTTGGATCATTTTTTCACTTTAATTATGCACAGATTAATAAATATTAAAGATTCTTATAAAGAATCTACTGATATTAAAAAAAAGTCACAAAATAGTACCGAAAATGTGGAGAATTATAAATTTAGAAGCGCTTTTTCAGTCGCAAGCTTTATACAGTTACCGAGAGACGCGCAAATTCAAATAGACGCTGCGTTAAGCGAGATGGAAGCTATGGATTACAGAGACTGGGTATATTGATACTTATTACAATTATATTTTAAATAATTAATAAGTATGCTTACGTTAAAGTGTAAATCTACATTGATTGTATCTAAATAGATGCATATTTAACAGAACGAAGATCCTATGGATTGTAAAAGATTATATACTATATTAGGGAGCTGCATTTATCACAAGAGCCATCTTCTAGGATCTCATTTACCTCACGAAGATCTGATCGACGTACATTCGTTCTTGAGACATAACGGCTTATTAAATCTGGTGAGCCAAGAACAAGTAAAATGTCTAGTTTTGTGGAAACAAATTTATCCCTCGTCTTGCAATCGTGGCAATATTGATAGCAATGACAGCAACCAGTTATTAATATTAAATGGAAAATGGTTTTTATTGGTTGTCGGGTATGGGCATGATTTATTAGCGGTGCTGTTGGAATCTGGCGGATGCACTGCAAAGTGAGTGTGTATTATTTTACATAAATAGTCTAAATATTGCTTTTTATTCAAGTTTTATTATTCTATTAGATACAATGACACGATTGGCCCAGATGTATTTTACGTGGAAGAGGCTCAAGAGACATTGAAGCATGTACAAAAAATAGGAGTTACGGTTTTGGCATCGAAATGGATTACATCCAATACCAGACCCGAAGTAATACCATATGAGGAACATATAACAACGAAAGCATCATCCAGTATAACGGAAAACCTATTTGGTTTGATAAAATCAACGTCCGATGCGCAAACTGTACCATCTAAGCAAAATGTCAATCCTGCTATTAATAAGAAACCGCAAGAATTGCCTTCTATCTTGAAGAAACGAAATCCTGAAGAAAATCCTGTGATCTTGGGTTCTGGTAAGTTTCAATGTATGTATAATAGTGAAATCAATTCAAATATTTCTTATACTATATCTTAATTCTTTTTGTCACTTTTTACAATATATATAAGACAGTGTTATATAAGTTGTTTCATTTCTTATATGTGTGAATATTATTATTTTACGAATATATGTATTCTTTCACATGTTTAGTGTATTCCTTACAAACATCCGAAGATTCACTCAGCCAAGGAACAGGTGGTGTTAGCGAAATGAGCGATGAGGCAATGCCTATACTTGGAAGACGAGCAATCAGAGAAAAGATCAATTCGGCATCGAGATATTCAGATGACAGTGATTCAGATATCGACATATATAAGGTAACACACACACACACACACACTCTCTCTCTCTCTCTCTCTCTCTTAAAAAAATACATAGTACTTGTTTCAAATACTAATATATTTATCAATATTTTCTTATAGAGTGATAGTAACGTGCTTACAATGGATATATCCAATATACGAGAGAACTTGTTAAACCAAGCAGAATATTTAGTACCTCAAAAACTAACTGCAGGTGATAAAAATTATTTGTATCATTATGTTCAATTGGACATGGTGGAAGGAATTCTATTAACATCAATGCCTATTCAAAATACAAAGGATAACAAGATTCTTGTTAACTTTAATAAGTGTGTACATGTTATTCATAGACTATTACGTAATACAGTAAGATTTAAGATGTTGAATCAAGATATAGATAAAACGGTAATCAACAAAAGTTTAATCGCTGTTAAAGAACACGGTGTATTATTTGAATGGGAAAATACAGCTTTTTGGGTAATTGGACGTCTCTATACGAGCCCTCATCCAAAGGAATTGTACGTGTGCCATCAAGACTCTGCACCTCAGAATCTAATCGAAATAGCTTTTCGATTACACTCGTAACACTTATACTGTGTATGTATACAGAAAATACGCATATTTTGAATAAATTTTTATTATATATACGCAACATTGTATATGAATTATTTTTAATTTGCAACTGTGATAATAAAAACGTAATCTTAAAATTACTTTTTATTAAGTAGTTACAGTTAATATTTTATAAAAAATTTTATATATTTAACATTTTATATACTCGTAGGTACTCATTTTTTATTTCATTGAAATCAGTGACTTTTTGTCACATAAAACTTTTTATTAAAAAAGCAGAGAGAAAATCTCATAAACTAACTTGTCTAATTTGATCTCTCTGTCTTTTATAAAATCTGTTTTAATTACGTTTTTTTACAAGTGCAAGTGCAAATATTCTCAGGAATTTTCACAGAAACACAAGCTCCAGCCATTTTACTGCCATAATGTCCTGCCCAATATAATCTGTCTCTTCCACTATGCTCAAAGGAGATAACTCTGAGACCAGTTCCATAGTTTTCAAATACATGTGAAACCTGCGATAAAGCATACAAAAAAATATAAATTGAAGATTGTATGTATACCATATTTCAATTTTTGTTACGTAAAATATACAAATTTTTTTCATGTTTTTTTAATACTCACTTGCAGCCATCTATTCTGTTTCTCTCCTTCTAAAATATCTTCAAATTTAAACTTATCCATTTGTTCTTCGTCAACACCAATTAATTTAACTTCCAACTGATATTTTGCTGGACAATCCCATCGACAGCTGTACCATTCGCTTACCTACACATACATGGCATGTATAATTTATAATTGCATACAATATATATATGTATGTGTGTGTGTATGTGTGTTTGTGTTTTTATATATATATATAATTTCATCACATAAAACTTGATGATACCACTATAGGTGGTTGATAAGTATCTAGGATATATGGATGAATCCCTTCATCTGTGAGATAGATATCTTGCATTTTGGAGCAACGTTGATAGGACGTCGTGAAACAGATCTGTCTATCTTTAAACATTGGTTCGATTTGTGGCAGTTTTGGCACGCCGACTGGAGGCTCCTCAATCCTCCAGTGATCACCACCATTTGAACCCAAGTCCCAATGATGCGTGCCTTCTGCGCCGGAATGATTTCTCAGCAAGTTCCTTTCATACGGCTTCTTAGTGCATGCGAAATAAAATACGGACCAGGGGATTTTGTCGTTCCATGGAAACGGTTTGGCTAGCGTCTGCTCGGTCTTTTTATGCCAGACGTAATTCATCAACATCTTCCAGCGTTTACATACCAACTGGCAATTCATCAGAGTCTTGCAGTCAGCATAACAAAAGATCTCTATCAGAATTTCGACCGGCAGGTATTTATCACAGAGTACCAAGCCATTATCACCCTCTTCATCGAACATCACGCGAGGACTTGAAGGAATAGTATTGAACTGTCCCATCATCTGTTAACACACACTTGACACGTTATAACGTGATGCACTGACGACACTGACGCATATGTGTTTACAATGTTGCTTCGATGTCAAGAGTGGTCATCGAGGCAGTCTCGGATTCGAGGAAACGTTTCGCCATCATTGTGTCTGAATTTCCGCAAACTTTTCTTATGCATCATCACGCAAAAGTACACGCTTTCGAGTACGCAATATTGAACATTTGATACTACGCTCGATCGAAACAAATGACATTTTCCGCGATGTCGTGAGAAAAATCGCCCGCCGTGTCACTCGAATGTTCGAATCGAATAATTAATGGAACAAAATTAACGAAACGTCCAAAGTGATGTCCAAATGACTTTGCAATCGCAATTACTTACGACTTGTCGCGTGCTCTCTCCAAAGCTTGTCGCAGTTTGTCAGGATCTTCGTACGTTCGTACGCGGGAGATGGCGCAAATCAATAATGGCTTAGTTTTTTGAGTCATAACGGAAGGCATGTGAAGTCGGAATTCGCTCTCATTCCTAGGCGTAAATCTCACGAGTTCCGCTCTTTTGACACGTGACTCATTATTATCTAGTTCGTCTCCCGTTTCGAAATGATCAATAAAAGAAGTCTGCCCCTTAATAATTTGATGGACATATCTTGTAAAGAATATATTGCGCATTCTTTTATCCTTGTTGTGCAATGAACATTACATGTATTTTACACAGAGAGCTCTATATTGGAGTATGCCTTTTATATATGTATATTAAAACTGTAACGTGAAGGAAAGGAAAGCAAACAAATACTTGTTTTTTTTTATTTATTCCTACTTGTGTGACGGATAAAACATTAGCCAATCAATTGAATTCCTGACAAAAAAAATAATACAATCTTTACTTTATTGGGACATCATCTAAAAATTGGGATTCCTCATTCCAAACTATAGTGCTCACGTATCATTTTATTGTTGTTCGTCAAACATTATTAAAGAAGAATAAAATGATAAATTATGCGTGAAACGGAATACATCCAGTGTATTCTACAAGCAACGAAACACAACTGTCCTCTAACCTAAACAGTTCCTCTATTCCTATTTCCTAAACAACCAAAACATTTCGAGCTCTGTATTTATGCCACTCTCAAAAGGATAGAGAAGAGGAAATTGTACGACGATTACGTGCAATTATGTTGAATATTTTCTCTTTATTTTCTGCAGAGTAGTATAGCATCGCAGTACAAAAACACGTGTCGTTTAAAGGAAATAGGTACGCGGCTTCCGGACACTGAACAGCGGCATACGATTTCTGTGCTGAATTCGCTTGGGCAATGGAAACTTGATCTTGGAGTCGTGGAACTGCTTCACTTGGGGCCTGCGACAGTTTGCAGCCTTCACAACCTCCACCTTGATTATCTGTATAGAATGAGCACGTGCACGATGACGGGCACCCATATCCCTATAGCACTGGGTTACTGCCCCACTGACGGAGAGGTCCCTGTACTCCCTGTACATGTTGTGTGTACCAGATCGAGAATCGTATCTCAGCCATATTCCAAAATTCTTGATTTTCATTGGAGTTTTCTCTGGAATCTAAAAGATTCAATTTTATATTATCAACATATATAAAGTTATCTAATATACATAATGAAATATTTAGTTTTCTTTCTTATATCAATGTCAATGTAAATTAACTCTAATTAAATTATGCTTCATCTTTGTCTAGTTTTAAGAATTAGAAAAGGATAGAGTAAATTAAACCAAGATTGAATTTATCTATACTGGTAAAAGTGAACATTAACAATTTTTTATTATAATTCGTAGTCTACATTAAACTGTTTGTCACGTTTCCTTTCTCTTTTCCAACATCTGTGTATTCATTTATTTTAAGTGCAACAAGTTAATATTGCAAACGAAACATAGCAGTTACAAAGAACACACATCTAATAAGACAAAACTGTGTAATAA